AGGGGTGTGCCAAAATTGGTTGGCGGCGGCATGCGGACGCAGCCATTTGGGCCTTCGGTGGAGCTCCCTATGGGGCCACGAAACGTGTGAGGGGTGTGCCAAAATTGGGTGGCGGCGGCATGCGGACGCAGCCATTTGGGCCTTCGGTGGAGCTCCCTATGGGGCCACGAAACGTGTGAGGGGTGTGCCGATGATGATGATGATGATGATGATGATGATGATGATGATGATGATGATGATGATGATGATGATGATGATGATGATGATGGTGATGATGATGATGACCGACAACCACGATGTGGATGATGATGATGACGATACTCATGATGATGAGCATGATGAAGATGGTGATGATGATGGGAGGAGGGGGGAGGGGGCAGCGGGAGGAGGAACGCGGGCACCGTCTCTTCAAAACGAGGACCCAACACCACAGGATGGTTGGGAACAAGCAAACCGCTTGAGACATCCCGACAAAACGGCCGCGAACGGGACCGTGAGATAACCCCTGGCGGCTCCCCTGAGGGGGGTGAAAATGAAGGCCTCGCTCGAGACATCCTCCAAATCTGCTCCGAAAGCGAAGGATGTTGGGACAGAACACAGGCAAACCGCTTGAGACATCCCCACAAACGGCCGCGAACGGGGCGTGCGTGAGTCTCACCATGAGTAAGTCTGAGTAGGAGTAGGTCTGAGTATGAGTAGGTCTGAGTAAGAATAATTTTGTGTGTGAGTAAGTCTGGGTACGAGTAAGTCTGAGTGTGAGTCAGTCTGTGCATGAGCAAGTCTGGGTATGAGGAGCAGAGGGGAGGAGAAGGAGGAGAAGAAGAAGAAGAAGAAGAAGGAGGGGTAGGAGGCGTCCAAGTAATAACAAAAACCCCATCTTAGGATATGGGGACATAAAGTTAACGGTTTTGGGTTCTCCAGCCGCTCTCGAGAGGCCTCTCGGAGCTCTCTTGGGGTGGTCTCTTGGAGGCCTCCTGGGAGCCTGGAGAGCCGCCCAAACGCTATCCTGGGTTGCTTGAGAGCGTCTTGGGCAATTCTGTTACGTTGTGGGGACTTCTAAGAAGTCCCAAAAAGAATCTTGGGGTCGTCTTGGACTGTCTTTGGGCATTGTGGGGGCTCCCCGGGAGGCCGGGAAGCGCGGTACCGGGAGCATACATCAGATGTGAGCGAGGTGGAGGACGCCCCGGGAGGGGGCCCGGCGTATTTGTGTAGAACCGCGCGCGCTTCGCGCGCGCTTAGGTTCTCCCTCGTTCGTCCCTCCAGATTATCCTCCACTCCGACTCCTGTAAACTCACCCACAAAATACCCCTCCGCTCCCCCTTACTCCTCATCCCCCCCCTCTGCTCCCGAGCTTTTTCCAGGGTCCCTGGCCCTACCTAACGAATTTCGGACTCCCCGGGCTGCTTGAAGCCCCCCCCGGACTGCTCGGACGCCCTAACAAGGGGTCATTCGGCCTTCTGGCCTTCTCGGAAGGTCCAGAGGCCTCCAATATTGCCCAAGACAGCTCGTCGATAGTTCCAAAGCGCACCAAAACCTTCAACATGGCTTCCAAACGCCCCAAGAGGCCTCCAAGAGGCTTCCCAAGAGGGCCCGAAGAGGCACAATTACTTGATTTTTCAATGCTTTTTGAAGACTTTTTCGGTTTTCGCTTTTCCGGGTTCAGAACGGCCCAAGACGGCCCAAGAGGCTCCAAAGATCGTCCCAAAACGGCCCCGAAAACGGCCCAAGAGGGCCCCTCCCTAGACGGCCCAAGAGGGCCAGAAAACTACCAAGGGAGCCCCAAGACGGCCCCAAGAGAGCCTCAGGAGCACCCCGAGAGGCTCCCAAGAGGGCCCCAAGAGGCCCCCAAGACAGCCCGACGACGGCCGAAGGCCAGACGCCCAAAAACGGCCCGAAAGGGCCCCAAAACGGCCCAAGAGAGTCCCAGCACGGCCCAAAAGTGCCCCCAAAAAGGCACGAAGAGGCACAATTCATTTTTTTGTTGAAAAGGTTTGAAAGTTTGTTCGGCTTTCGCTTTTTCGGGCCACGAACGGCCCAAGACGGCCCAAGAGCGTTTTACAAGGAAGTCCCCTGCAAATCAATTATTGCACGGATGTAGATATCGTAAACAATAAATTGCCATGTGAAACGAGCGTCAATCGCTCTTGGGACGTTCAGGCGTTGGAAGGCGCTGTCGTTTGAGATCCATACGTACATACATACATACATACACATTCACATGCATACATACGCAAAATAAATTAACGTGTGCACACACATCCCCCACGAACGCACTTCGGACTCCCAGGGCTGTTGGGAAGCCCCTTCCTGGGCTGCTCGACCTGATGGGAAGCTCCCTGGGGGCTGCTCGGACGTTCTTGCAAGGGGGTTCCTCGACCTTCCGGCCTGAGCTGTTCAGACCACTCTTCGCTTGAGACTCACTCGCGCAGCTGACTTCGGAGATGGCCTGCCCCATAGTGCTCGGGCCAGTTTCGCCTGAGGCATCCTCGCAACGTCAACCTCGGATGCTCTTTGCCGCGTAGCAAACAGACACGTAGCACTCCGACACGTTCACAAGGCCTCCATATTTTTCCCAAAAGTTTTGGCGGCGCCCGTCGTCGAGTCCCTTTCAGGTCCTCCTGTCGTTCAACGCTCTCGGAGGCCAGCTCGCAGCGTCTTGCATCCGCGTCAGTTGCAGCCTTCATGCCATGACTTCCGATCCTGAGCGTTCGTGCCTGCCTGTCCTCGGGTCCGCGGGATTCCTCCCATGACTCTTTCCCTTCGCCGTCCTCCTTTCCACTGTCGGCTGAGACATCCTCACAACTCTGACCCTCGAGAAGCCCTGCCCCAAGATTGTCCGGCCACTTCCGCTTGAGACCTTCTCGCAAATCTGGGTTCTGGGGCTCCCTGACCTGAGGTGTTCTGGCAACTTTCTCTAGTAAGATCCTCGCAACTCTGGATTCCGAGATGCCCTGCCGCAGAGTAGTCCGCCACTTTCTTTCACCTGCGACATCCTCGCAACTTTGGATTCAGGGATGCCCTGAGCTGAGGTGCTCAGGCCACCTTCGTTTGAGACATCCTTGCAATTCCGGGTTCGGGTCTGTCCTCAGCTGAGGTGGTCAGCTCACTTTTGCTTGAAACATCCTCGCAACGCTGACATCGGAGATGCATTGCCCCGTAGTGCTCTGGCTACTTTCGCCTGAGACCCTCGCACCTCTGAGTTGCGAGATGCCCTGAGCTGGCGGTCAGGCCATTACCGCCTGAAATACGCACGTGTATGCGCACCCATAAGTACAGATAGGTGCGTGCACCACCAAACACCTGCGATTGACATATTCATATACATACGCATCTACATGTGTAATATGTCTACACGTATACAACAGTATACATGTGCGGTATGCACATGCGCAGAGCTTGCATGCGCGTGCGCGTGTAACAATGCGTGCGCGCACGCACGCATGCACGCACCCCGCTTGCGTGCGAAATTCAGAGGACCACGGTGCATGGCGCGCAGCGCCAATGCAGCTTTGTATATCTATATATATATATAGATATATATGGAGAGAGATTCAGTTACACCTAGTCCCGCTCTTAACTATCTCGATCTCACACGACGACGGATATGCTTCAGTGCTGCGCAGGAAAAGGCCATGAACGCCGACTTTGCTGGGCCCTCACTAAGCAGCGAGTGCTGTCAGCCCTGCGCCTGATGCGAATTGAAAGTGAACGGGCTAGAATGGGGTGTGCAAAAGGTTCCCGACAGAGTCTGACGTAACGGGTGGATGGAGGATAAGAAATTATCCCAGTGCGACCCGACCTAGGAGTTGGAGGATCTAGGCAAGCAACATCTATATGAAGCTAAGTTAAGCTAAGATGAAGCTAAGCTAAGATGAAGATGAGAGAAGCAACGCTAAGCTAAGGGAACGTCACTGGGGGGAACCGCGGAGCGGATGCCGGGGGAACCGCCCGGGGCGTTTTCCACTGCCCGTCGCCCACATCGACGGCCACAGCAGGCCGGGTGGGCTGTGCAGCACCACCTGGTGCCGAGGCGGGCTCTGCAGCACCGCTGAACGCCTCACTCCGCCAACCTCGGGACATGAGCGCGGGCGGCTGTGTGGCAAAGGCCTCCAGACTTGAGCCGAAAAGGTTACGGAAGGCACTGCTTGCGGGGGCTCCCGTCCGGCCATCGAGGCCAGCTCGGCATCTGTCGCACATTGCTTTTGCTTTGCCTTGCCTTTGCTTTGCTTTGCTTTGCTTTGCGTTGCTTGTGCTTTGCTTTGCTGTCGCTGCTGTTGCTTTGCCTTTGCTTTGCTGCTGTGCTATGCTATGCTCTGCTGTGCTGCGCGGTGCCGGGGGAACCGCCCGGGGCGAGCCCCACTGCCCAGCCCTTTAAGCTTAGCTATGCTATGCTATGCTAAGCTGCGCTATGCGATGCTATGCTATGCTATGATATGCTATGCTATGATATGCTGCGCTATGCTATGAGTGGCTATGTTATGCTATGCTATGTTATGCTAATGCAGCGCTGCGCTATGCTAAGTTACGCTAAGCTAAGCTAAGTTAACCCTCTAAGCAGAGCCTAGGTAGGGAATTGCACCCATGCTATGATATGTGATGCTGCTCTATGTTATGCTACGCTATGCTATGCTGTGCTCTGCTATGCTAAAGCTCAGCGAAGCTAAGATGAAGGACATCTAAGCTAAGATAAACCTGAGCTAGGATGAAACTAAGCTAAGCTAAGATGAAATAAGCTGAGCTAAGATGAGATAAGCAACGCTAAGCTAAGGGGTCATAACTGGGGGAACCGCGGGGCGGATACTGGGGGAACCGCCCGGGGCGAGTTGCACTGCCCGGCCCTTTAAGTTTGCCGAGTAAGAACCCTTCTAGGCAGAGCCTAGGCAGGGAACCAGTGTTGGGGGGCGGAGGAGGGCACAGAGGGGGAGAGGAGACGAACGGGTGAGGGGGAGCCTGGCGACCCGGGAGGCAGGGGAAGCACAGCGAGAGCGAGAGGAGCCGTCCTCTGGCACCGGCGGCCCGGCCGGCGCCGCGGCCGGCGCACCCGCCGGCTCGGCAGCCGGCGCCTCCGCGGGCGCCGCGGCTGCCGCAGGCTGCCCCTCGAGGTCCGCCATGGCAGGCACGCCGGGCGCCGCCGCGCGCCCGGCTGTCGGGGCTCGGGCTCGGGAGAAGCACGAGCCGCGGGGGGAGCTGATATGATCAGGTGTCCTCCTCCTCCTCCTCCTCCTCCTCCTCCTCCTCCTCCTCCTCCCTCCTCAGCTCTCCCCTCCTCCTCCTCCTCCCTCCT